TAGAACAGTCAGAAAAGTACTAGACTTGAGTTGAGTCTAACCAGTCGTGTCTCTGCCACCAAAAGTGGCCGACACAACTGTGATCACACCGGAACAACCGTGATATACAAAAATAATAATAATAATAATAATAATAATAATAATAATAATAATAATAATAATAATAATAATAATAATAATAATAATAATAATAATAATAATAATAAGGGGAGGCACAGTGGTGTAGTGGTTAGTGTGTAGGGCTAGTAGAGTAATGGAGAGTAAGATCGTGAGTTCGAGCCCTGATGTGGAAAGCAATTTTTCTGAGAAAAAAAAATTGTTTTAACTGTGCTTCCCGTCCCTGCCCAACCAACGCTGTTTAGGACGGCCAACTTAAGTAGTATGGGGAAAGCGGGGTGCTAAGTGAGGACGAGTTTCTGCCCGACCCGGGTATCGGTACTTCGGTATCGGTGCCCACCTGGGGGTACCCGCAAGGGTGCTCCCACCCGGGGGTGCCTGTAAAAAGGTGCCCCCACCCCGAAGGGACGTCCGCAAGGATGTCCCTTCACCCTTCGAGTAGTTACTCGTCCTCACACGCAATGGCCACTTTTGTTTCAAAAAAATAAAAATAAAAATCCTATTTCAACAAACACATGTTAGTGGTGAGAAATGGGTGGCAATAGACACATGTTAGTGTTGAGCTTTCTCTAGGGACCGGGACCCCGTAAAAAGGCCACAAAATATATAAATATGATTACACGTAGTCGTAGGAATAACGGGGGGTGTTCGGGAGGTACCCTCTCAAATAAATCCCGCGTTCAGCAGGTAGGCATTGACTGCTGTTCGTTAAGTATGCATCATATCCCACGCAGTGATGTGCTATGCGGGCAAAGCTGTGATGTAATGCGACCGCAGACTAGTCAACAAAATCAGACTAACCTCCAAAATGTTTCAGTTCAAGCTGGTTCTCAGCAACAACTGACCAATTTGGTTGACAAATCGCAAAAGCGCATGAGATGGACACATGAGATGAATACCTTGATAATGCGCGAATACTACAGATCAACTCGACTCGAAACAAATATGACTGATTACAGAAACCAAATATACTTAGCATTCAAACAAAAATATCCAGAACTAAATGTAACGGAACAAAGAATTGCAGACCAACGGCGATTCTTAGCAAAGAATAATAAAATATCACCGATTGAATTACAAGAAATCAAACAACAAGTGGCACATGAACTATCATTAAATGAAACAACTGAATTAAATACCACAGTAGAAGTAGTGCCAGAAATAGAAGAGACACCTACAACAACAGATAACATAAACAATACAAATGATGAAATAAAAAGAATAACAGCAGAAAATGAACTAAAAACATCTTTAGAACAATATAAAGACTTTGAAATAGAATTCAGACCTAAATTACCAAAAATAAGAAGTGGCATTAAAACAAGATCTACTATAATAACGATAAATGATATACTTAAAGATTACATCGAAGAAAATATGTCGTTGAGCGCAATTAATACAATAACGTATTGTGCAGCAGTAGCAGTATCGAGACTCTTAGGCTACAAAATAGAACACATGTCTACAACAAAACCAAATCAAGAAAATGTAATACCTAAATGGCAAAAGCGAATAGAGACACGGATAGAAGGGAAAAGAAAAATAATTGGAAGAATAACGCAAGTGTTAAATGGAATCAAATCAAAAAGACTTAACCAATCATTAAAAGATATATACCGATCATTACAGACAAAACCTGGAAAACCTGAATTTGAATCCATAATCCGAAATTACAACGACACATTAAAACAAACAGTTCAAGCACTATCACAAAGAATTAGAAGATATAAAATACAAAGCGAAAGACGAAAACAAAATACAATGTTTTATAATAACGAAAAAATGTTCTATAGAAATCAAAATAAAATAAATTCAAGCAATAATAACAATACACCACAAATAGATGAAATAGAAAACTACTGGAAAGAAATCTGGAGTAACCCAAAGGAATATAAAGAATCTAATTGGATAAATGATATTGAAGATGAAAATAAAGAAATACCACATATGACTTCAGTAAATATAATTAAAGATGACTTAACCGAAGCCCTCAATAAATCCCACAATTGGAAAAGCCCAGGACAAGACAAAATACAAAACTTCTGGTATAAACACTTTACAACAGTTCATCAACCAATGGCAATAGCAATGAATAAAATAATACAAACAGGACAAACCGATGACTTCCTCACTTCCGGAATAACATATCTACTCCCAAAAACAGAAAATACATCAGATCCCAGTAAATATAGACCAATCACTTGCCTAACAACAATGTATAAAATCCTAACATCCATAATATCAACAAAAATATATAATCATTTAAGCAACAACAACATAATAGCTGAAGAACAAAAAGGCTGTATAAAACACTCAATGGGCTGTAAAGAGCAATTAACAATAGACAATATCATAACAATAAGAGCTCGTCAAAAACATAGAAATCTTGAAATGGCATACATAGACTATAAGAAAGCATTCGATTCAGTCCCTCATAAATGGTTATTAAGAGTGTTAAAACTATATAAAATTGACAACACATTGATAAACACATTAGAAAATATGATGAAAAAATGGAATACTAAATTGTGTGTCAATACAAATAATGGAACAAAAATAAGTACAGAAATCAAAATAAATAGAGGAATATTTCAAGGAGATTCACTCAGTCCTCTGTGGTTCTGCTTAGCTATAAACCCACTGTCATCACTACTTAAAAAGCTAAAAGGCGTAAATCTAAAATCAAGTGATACAAAATATAATCTAACACATCTACTATATATGGACGACTTAAAACTATACGCCGAAAAAGAATCTGATTTAAATGCAATGCTAAAAACAACAGAAACTTTCTCCAATGATATAAATATGGAATTCGGATTAGATAAATGTGCTATAATGAAACTGAAAAGAGGAGTCTATTCTGAAAGAAATCAATACGAAACTGATAACGGATATATAAAGGCACTAGAAAATGGAGATATATATAAGTATTTAGGAATTAAGCAAATGCATAAATCTAAAATGACAGAAGTTAAAGAAGAAATAAAGAAAACATTAAACCAAAGAATAATAAAAATACTAAAATCTCAACTAAACTCAAACAACAAATTCAAAGCCATAAACACTTGGGCTATACCTGTACTGACATACTCGTTCGGAATAATAAAATGGAGTAAAACAGAACTTGAGACCATTGAAAGACATATAAGGCGACAACTTACAATGTTTGGACTACACCACCCTAGAAGTTCTGTAGCACGACTGTGTGTTAGTAGAAAGCATGGGGGTAGAGGGTTACTAAACATTGTAAGCCTTGAAGCCAAACAGCGAGAATTGCTGAGAAAATACCATCAACAAAAATGCAATGTCTCAGAGCTCCACAAAATAACATCAACACTTGATTACAACTACACACCTCTAAATCTCAGCAATAATGAACATCAAATAGAAATACAAAATGAAAAAGAGAGGATTAACACATGGGCCTCAAAAGAACTCCACGGTAGATACAGGGCAGAACTCAACCAAACACACGTAGACGAAGAAATGTCTACAAAATGGTTGAAGTACGCCGGTCTTCATGGAGAGACAGAGGGGTTCATGATGGCAATACAAGATCGAGTGATTCCGACACGAAACCATCAGAAATACATCCAAAAGCTAAATATACCAACAGACAAGTGCAGGATGTGTCATATGGAGTCCGAAACAATAGAACATATACTAAACGGGTGTAAAGTACTCACAAACACCGAGTACCTAAGCCGTCACAACCAAGTAGCCAAAATCATACATCAGGAATTGGCAATAAGATTCGGACTAATCAAAGAACCATTACCATACTATAGATACGAACCACAAAGTGTAATGGAAAGCAACAGAGCCAAGCTCTACTGGGATAAAGAAATAAGAACAGATAAGACTGTGGCCCACAACCGCCCAGATATAGTACTAGTAGACAAACATCAAGATAAGGCATACATAATAGACATAGCGGTCCCACTAACACACAAACTACAGGACACGCATAGTGAGAAACGCCGAAAATATACAGACTTGGCCTATGAGATCAATAAGATGTGGCGCATTAAGAAAGTTGAAATCATACCTATAATCCTGTCATCAATGGCCGTAATACCGAAAAATCTGGCCCTAAGTTTGGAATCACTGGAAATCAGAAAAACTAAGATCTATGAAATGCAAAAAGCAGTGATACTTCAGAGTTGTAGAACAGTCAGAAAAGTACTAGACTTGAGTTGAGTCTAACCAGTCGTGTCTCTGCCACCAAAAGTGGCCGACACAACTGTGATCACACCGGAACAACCGTGATATACAAAAATAATAATAATAATAATAATAATAATAATAATAATAATAATAATAATAATAATAATAATAATAATAATAATAATGTTTGATTTTTAAAATTTATAAAATATTACTGTATATTTCATAATTAATTTTACAATTTTGAAGAAATATAAATTCAAAATTAGTATCATTGTATGATTGTACCTTGTATAAATTATTTATTTTGTTTGTTTGCAGTAGTTTAATACAGTATTTAGTAAAACTTTATATTATTTAAAAAATACTGTTAATATGTGAATATTATTATTATTAATAATATAAATATTTAGTTAAGTTTTATATAATTATTGAAATCGACATATATATATCTAATGTGCACAAAACTGTACACAAAAAATCTTATTGTTTTTCATTTTAAACGTTTTTGTGAATTGTTTTTTATCTGTTTATTTTCAAATGTCTTAAACAAAGAAGTAATAATAATAATAATGAATATAAATATAATATTTTGTCTAAAATTGCGATATTTTATACCGATATTAATATTGTTGACAACATTTAATATTTTAATTGTAATCTATGTTCACATAACACCTATATTTTATGTATCACACAATTATAATAAAGTTATGGTTAAGCCATTAAACAACATTACATACAGTAAATACTCAACATTTTAATTAATTTTAATAAATAATTAATAATAATAATAATAATTTTGCTGTTAATTAATTGATAGATTGGATTCATATTAAAGCCATACAAGAAAAACATAGTCAACCATATTTGGTAAACACCTCCCGGTGCCAAATAGCCCGGTGGCCGACATTTGACGAACAGGTTTGGCCATTGTATCAAAATTATACGGGTTTTAGTCTGAATTGTCGACACGATATTCAACAATGGTTGTCCATTCAACGATTTAACTATACCGGTGTTTATGTCCGATTTATACCGTCGGCGGTGGCGGCGACAGTCAAATGTTGGGCCAATTCATTCAAACGGCGCACTTATGACGACATGACTGTCGACTATATACTGCCAGACATTGCCGTTGAAGTCAATCAAATTACATATTTCAACGATACATCAGACGTGCGAATTACGTGCAATGTGTTTACTCGTACAACACGTGTGTAATAACCAAATAGTATATACAGTATATATATAATATTATTATTTTTTAATTATACATTAATTGATTTAACATTTAAAATATAAGGTATAAAAATATGTATTATACAACTACTATATACAGCATAAATATTTTAAATTTTGTTATTCATAACTACCGGTAACAATATATTACTTTATACATGTATATAATAATAATTATTAATTATTTGTTAAAATAGTGTATTAATTAGTTTTTATTACATTATAATAATACAGACAAACATTTCAAAAAAATTGTTTCGCTAATACCGGATAAGATACCGAAGCCCCAGAAAACAAGTATACAATATATATATATATATAATTTATATGATTTTATCACTTAATAGTAATTCACACAAAAATAGTAATAATAATAATAATAATAATTTATCTTAAATTTAGATTTAAAATCTTTTTTCGATCAATTGATCCGAAAGCCTCCGACACTGTTAAAGCAATTCAAGGCACGACAGAGTAGGCCTGTTGTCAGTTATGCTAGTGATGGACAACCAGATATAGACTCACTGCCAAACATATTGTTTGTCGGTATCGACTCAATATCGCGGATCAACTTTGACCGACATTTTCCATCGACTACGAAATTGTTAGATAAATATAATTTTCATACACTGTATGGCTATAATAAAGTGGGGGACAATACATTTCCCAATCTGGTAGCCCTATTGACCGGTTATTATTTAGATGAACTATGGGACGAATCGTTTGTTAATTGGGTTTATCTAAACTATTTTCCATTTATTTGGAAAGTATGTAAACATATTTACACTTTTTATTGTAAAAATTATTATTATTACAATATTTAATTAATTTTGTATCTCTCTCTCTCTCTCTCTCTTTCTTTAATAATCATTTCTATAAGGACTTCAAAAGTAAAGGCTTCCGTACGATGTTGATGGAGGACGCGCCAGATATGGCTACTTTCAATAGATTTAAGTTAGGTTTCGCTGAACAGCCGACCGACTATTATCTGCGACCGTTTAGCAGTCAAATAGAGGAAGATATCAAATACTACTGTTATCTGGATAAGCCTGAAACGGAAGTCTACTTTGACTATGTCTATGATTTTGTATCGGCAATGACTGATAGGAAACAAAAATATTTTGCCTTTACATTTATGGCTCGACTCACTCACGATGAGGTCAATAATGCCGGCTTAGTTGATCCGTTGACAACTCATTTATTTAGCAAACTGTTTGCAGACAACAGGCGTCTATTAAATGATACGGTTGTGATATTTTTCTCGGATCACGGCATCCGATTTGGTCCGATTCGGACCACACTATCGGGAAAGTATGAAGAACGGCTGCCATTTATGCACCTGTATTTGCCCGATAGATATCGTATCAACAATATTAATGTGTCAATCAATCAGAATCGGTTGACTACACCGTTTGATATTCACGCAACACTCAGGCATATAGTTTTAGGCCGACCGGACACTGAACTACGATATGGTCGGTCATTGTTTGAAGAGATACCTGAACAGAGATCGTGTCAATCGATACCAATTGACGATCACTGGTGTTCCTGTCAGACCACTAGTCAAACCATTACCGGAAACTTGTCTTTAGTTAGACCGATGGCTCAATTTATAGTCAACAGTATTAACAAGTTGTTAGTCGATGAAAACTATAGCCACAAATGTGCTGAACTTTGGTTGAATACAACAGTGTCGGCATATGAACAACGTTTTGATGGCAAAGACAATGGTGTTGTTGTTGTTGTTGATAACGTCACTGAGACACTAGCGATCAGACAGTTTAGTTTGACAATTGTGGTCAATCCAAGTCAGGCATTACTGGAGGCGACCATCAGTTTGAATCAAATAAGCAAACAAATGACACTGAATGGCGAAGTGTCGCGTATTAACAAATATGGCGATCAATCCGATTGTATTGATAGCCATCGGCTACAGAAATATTGTTTTTGCAGAAATTTACTTAAAAAATAATTGATAAAATATAATAAATAATAATTTAAATAATTAATGTATGTGTTTATTAAAAAAAACAATTTAATAAAAATACGTTATTTTATATGTTTATGTGTTATTATTAACTCTAATTAAAAATATTTTTCTTATTTTAATTCATAACTATTATTATTTAGTAAAAATATTTAGCTAAAAAAGTAAATTAAATTTTTAAATGAATTTAATAATTGCATAAAATCAATTTTTTTAGTAAATTATATTTATTAACATTACAACAACAAATTATTACAATAAGACAACAAGTTTAATAACTACTACTACAGTAATCAAGTAATAATAATATTATTAATTAATAATTTTTAATAATAATACAAAACACTTGTTTAAATAACAATTAATTAATTAAAGTATTTTATAATAAATCAGATTGACAATAAAACAACTGTTAAATTAAATAGTGTGTTTAGTTATAATTAAGTTAAAAAAAATTAATTATTATAAAAGTATATATATAAAACAATTTTAATATTTAATTAATCTAAAACGATTAAAAATTTTATACAGAAATTAGTCATTATTAATAACTATGTACTGTATGTTAAAATAAATTATCTATAGATTATTAATTAGTTTATACTTTTTTAATATTTTATTTAAGTAAAAACCTATTAATAACAATTTTTTAAAAATATTCGATATTAAGCTTAAATTAAATTGTAAAACACAAATATATAAAAAGCAACAATTATTAGTAGTTTTCATATTAACTAAAAATATTATTAAATATTAATAAAAAACAATTCATATAAAATTATTTATAATGAATAAAATTTTTATTTTATTAGTTATTGTATGCATCAGTTGTACTGCTGTGTCGGGTCAGTACCTATTGGTTGGTGCTATTAATGCCATATCCAATGCACTGTTGGGTTTGTCACGACCGGCCAGAAGTATCGGGTTTCTCAATGGATTTGCTGCTGATATACGAGGAAAGGTAGACAATGCTGTGTCTACAGTTAACAATGATGTCCATCAGGTGTTGTCACGATTGCATTCCGGTGTCGATAAAGTCAAAAATGGTTTCTATAGTTCGGCCAACTATACTGAACTGACCACACAATTTGCCAGTGCATCTAATCAACTAAATTCATTGGTCGACTCTAATAATACCGTTCCCCTATCACTATACGCCCAAATTTTGTCATTGTTTCGGCCATTGGAAGACAAGAGAGCCGGGTTTGTACAGCAAGCAAGTGATGATCTGTTGGCTAAAAGTCAAAATTTATACAATTTATTGAATGGTAACTCCAATGATATCAAAAAACAATTGAATGAAACTCTGGGCAAAGTGTTGTCATCGGCACAGGCTATAAGAGACTCAAGAAAACAGGGACTCAATCACAATAAGGCTGAACTGTTAGGTGTTGTACAACCACTACTAACATTGGCTAAACGAGGAAATCCATCAGCCATTGCAACACTATTTGATATGTCATATCTTGTGGTTAAAACAGGTTTGGGTGTCCGTCATAATGTTGCCGCCATTAAAGAGTCACTGGAAAGGGATCAGTCGGCCGTTCAAAGAGATCAACAAAAATATGGGTCGGACAGCGAACTGAGTGCTCAGTTACAGTCAGCTAACGATGCACTTCAGGAACAGATCTCTGGATACGAGACTGACCTGAAAGGTGTCGAAGATATACTCAATCAGTTTGGTCTCTATCACCCATTGATTGACATTTTGTCAGCAATTAAATTGTAATCAGATTTCGGATATAAAACTTTATGCTATTCTGAAAGACAATACTGATATTAAATCTTATATTAAATTTTTCTTATGATAAAACTTTTTAAATTGTTAAATTTTGTTATTATGTATTATTGTATGTAATATTCAAAATAATAAAAATTAGTTATTAAGCATTATTATATTGTTTATTGTAATTTTATTTTTAAAAATATTTTTAATATGTTTTGGAAAATGTAAGACAAGTACAGTCTTAATTTATATGTAATAATAGTCAAATTGAATCATGTTTTTAAATATATTTTATATTAAATAAAATTGTATTGAACTAGTAAATAAGATTATTTCTATACTAATATTTTAATATAAATAACATAGTTAAAATAATATAAATATTTAATAAATTAAAGTTCATTATAGTTATAAAATTAATAGTTAATTTGTGCAATTTTTAATAAATAACATTATGAGGTACATGTAGTATTATATATAATTTATATAATGATAACACGATTTTTATAATTTATATAAATGCCATAAAAATAGTTAATTAAATAAAATGGATAATAGAGTAGTTGACTAAAACTGACAACAGATATGCCGATCCACATACCAATAGTACCACCGATTTCATAGACAAGTCCATAGATATCCATATCTAACTGTTCAGTGATTTGTGGCTCTAATCCATGTTTCGGTATTATATTGATCTCAGTATAGTTCATGAGTCGCGATAACCCGACACTAGTTGTTGTCGAGCTTATCATATCCGACAGTATTCGGAAACATCGACCCATTGATTGCTGAAAACATTTTGACAAAAATTTTAAATAAGTATTTTTTGGATATTCTTTACTTTTACAATAATTTATATTATTATTATTATTATTATTTATAGATAAATCTATGTCTTGATAATCAAATGGATAACAACTATTAGTTTTTAAATACATATTTTTCACACAATTGGTAACATTTTTAAATTTTTTATTTCCATATATTATACGATTGAATGGATTGTCGTCTATTGAATCCCAGCACGGATTAGTCGGAGTCGACAATAGTTTTATAAATTTTGTTGTATAGAAAATATTTGTTATACTATTTGTTTTAATAAAATATGATTTTGAATCAATCCAATCATCAAACCATGTTTTTAAGTAAATAGTTTTAATATTTAGACTATTATATCTCAATGTTATTTGTTTTAATGTTTTTCTATTTAATAAATTAAGTTTATCAATGTTTGTAAAATTATTGAAAAACTTATTATTAATTGTTAATCTGAATAATAATTTGTTTGAAAATTTACGAATAATATTAATTTGTGCAAAAATTTCTCGTTTAAGACAATCACTGTTTAAGTCATCAGTAAATTTAAACTTACATTCAATTAGATCCGAGTTATAATCATATATTGATTGACGTATTTGCTGTTTATTAGTAGTATTAATAATATATAAATATTTATTGATTTGTTTTTCAATAATATCTAAATCATTGTCAATATCATCGATAATCATATCTGTTTGTATAATTGGATTCATAGGTAATATATGAATAGTTAACTCAGGTATTCTCATATAGTATTGAAACCGTATTTGAGTTATTGTATTATAACTTTTATATAATGCAATTACTGATAATAAATGCCAACACATTAGCATAAAACACATAATAAATATTATTAGATTAAGTAGTAATGTATTTATATATTTATTAAAGTGATAATTATTGGAAATTATTTTTTTGAATTTATTATTCTGTAAAATTCTAGTTACTTTTGATAAAAAAATTTCAATTATCATTATTATCATTGAATAACAACTGTATCCCCAAAACATACCAATAAGTCCTCCCAATTCACACCAATAGGTTATGGCCGACATCGACGGCGAGTATAATACTGTTAATTTCAAATGTGTTTTTGAAAAAATAAAAATTTGTTTTTTGTTTTTGTCGTAATTGCTTTTTTTGATAAATGTTTGTGAAATATCATATGCATAGTAATTGCAATCGGGTTTACATATTGATTGTAATTCACGATAATTGTAGCCAACAATACAGTTGTTAATTATATTATTATTTATTAGATTATTATAATTATTAATAATTGATAAAATGTGTGACTTATTATCGATACGATATTGAGTCCAATAATAATTATAATTACATTTTCTATACTCTCTATCAGTCATTACATTTAACATGCATTCAGTTCGGGATTTTGGTTGAATTAGTCGTCCATCAGATTGTTTGTCGCCATCGATATTATCATAGTATTTGCAATCGGTCTGATAGGGGAACGGTAGGTATTTTTGAAGGAATGTATCTAAATAAATATATTGATCATGGTTGTTTTCATTGACAATAGTCATATGTTGAAAATGTGTGGGTGTATTACTAGTAGTTAATGCCATTTTTACTGGCATACTATGATCAAAACTAACATATATATTAGTATGTGTTTTATGTGATTTTTGTTTAATATTATAATCTGTAAAATTGACCAATTCATACATTAAAGTCAGACATAGTTTACCCGTATAGCCATAGCGCAGGTAGTCTTCACCGATAAATTTATTGCACATTTTATGTGAAATGCCATCAAAACTACAATCAAACAAATCATTATTAAATATTTTGTTGTCATTTTTTGTTAGATTTTGAAGCCATTGTTTAGCTAAACATAGTGTTATCGATGGCATAGCTTTGATATCAAAAATATTATCCGATTTATTGAAATACAATTCATTGTTTGTCGGATATTGTAAGTACTCTGTTGTATGAATTAGTATTTTATAGATAAATAGTAACCACAAGAAAATAATAATACTATTATTAATAATCCATAAATTCATTGCTAATTTTTATTAATGTTATTATTTTTCTCACTTTTTTTTATAGATTTTAGTGTTGATTTATTTGGAATGTAATTAGTTTTTATTTAATTTTAATTTATTTAAAGAAAAATGTTAATGTTTTAAATTTAACTTAATTTTTATGAATATTTTTTGAGTTTTACTTTAGCTTAAAATGCAAGTTAAGTGATTTGAATAGTACTACAGTTTGCTTGATTAAAAAATCTATTTATATTATTTTTTATTGTATCATGGTATATAAAGTAATAATAGGTATTGGTACCATTGTATATTTATTAATTTATTTTATATAGAAAAAATATAATATTATTTATAATGCCTATTAAAATAAAATATATTATAATGATTGAGATAAAATAATATAATAAAACATTTAATTAATAAAACAT